TATTAAGTCCCTAGCTCCGCTTTTTATCCTTGATTTTGTTTGTTCACGTTATCTAGGAACTTAATGACTTAACTGAATTAACACAGAACCACTCCTTCCACATTTCACAAACTTAGAAAACGGACTAAATAAGTACAAAACAGATTATTAATGAAAATCGCGAAACTTGCTTGAAGAAAATGGCCTTAAACGACTAAACTACACCCCGCATATCTCGAGCGAAAATCTTACGAATTTTTTATAAATTGATATAAATGGTTTATATTAAATTAATATTGGTTGGAATGGGTGGCCAAGCGTGTTTTTGCACAAGAAACCGAAAGCTATAACGTCGAAAGGTTATTCAACACACGACAAAATAAATTCAGCACGCATAGTATTTTAAGTAATTATGAAAAAAAAAATCAACGAATAGTAGCTGTACATCTGATAAGGCGTTTTGCTACATGAAAAGTTTTGAATTTTTTATAGGCTAAAGTTTTTGAAAAGCTTCCACCGTTTCTAGAAAGCGTGGACTACATTTAAAGAGTACAGACGGAACGGTCTTGTTAAAGTTTCAGCGAGTGGTTTTCCGGGACGGAGAAGTAGAAAGTTGAACGATTTAAAAGACGTAGAGAGGCAAGTTTATAAAAGAAGGCCCGTTGATGAATTATGTATGTGAGAACAATCTGTTTTGATCATTTACCAATTTGACCCGGCGGGGGGTACGACTTAAGGAGAAACTTGTTCCGAACTTTTAAAAACATAGGATCCGAGAGACTTGCTCTCTCTTTAAATATACGGAGGTGGATTTTATTTGGCTAACTTACCTATTCGTTCCACTTGTTTGTTTCAACCGCCGCCCCCGGACCTCTGAAGTCAATAATTAATTAATATCAAATCTTAAACCTGAGTTAATACTCAATAAATAGGCATTTCAAAGAGCAGAATATTTCATCTATCGATTTTTGGCCAATCCAAGACCTAGAACAGCCAAATTTGGACAAATGTCTGATCCATAGTAGTTAATCTGGAAAGTGTACAGTCTTCTGGCGCATTTGGATGGAAAGTTCAACTGGCTCACTATTACTACCGGTGAAGCTTAATTTGTATTAACTTTCGATTACTTTTCGTTCTCCGGACTTGCTGTCTTTAATATCTCCCTTTGGTCCTATAAATCCTGTAGATTAACCGGATGAATTTGCATTATTCTCAATTCAAGAGGAGAATGCTAGGTGGAAGTGTTTTCTACTTTTACCTGCTTATAGAGGGAATTGCCTAGTTTTGACGAATTTAATCTTTACTAAAAGCCAGTCCAATTAACAACCTTATATTAAAAAAAAATACGCACACAAAATATCTTTAGATCTCAGTCTGACTAGCTTTATTAACTTTATATGATCAACGAAAAAAAGAATTTTTAAAATTAATTTGCTTATTGTTGTCGGTTTTAAACTTTGCCGTAGCGTGAAGGAAATTTGTAAAAGGCTTTAAAGGGAAAATTGGCTTCCCGAGTAATAAATAGTGTTGACCGGCTATCAAAGTAACCGAGGTTTCCTACATTATCTGGCCGGATTAATCAGTGAGGAGAGGGAAAATGGGCTTATTACAGAAACAAGGTTTGGCCCAAGGGTGGCTCATTATGCCCTTAAACCAATATGCTCTTATCTGGGGAAATTAAACAGTTTGCTAACATTCTGGTCGCTGGCATATGACAAGACGTATGTTCGCTGATTTTCTATTTTTAGCCACGTGATACGTCCACTCCCTTTTCACCATTTTTTGGAACAAAATTACAGTTCTTGAACTAAAATTTTGACTTTTCGGTTCAGGATTCCATAAATACATTCCAGAAATTGAGTTCACTGTAATGTAGAGACAATTTTTTTACTAAAAATTAAAGCATTTTAGGACCTTTTAAATTAAGAAATATCACTTGACATTGTATTAATATCTTTAAATTTTGTCAAATTTTTAATTTATAAACTAATTATGAACAACAATAATCGATGAAAATTTTCTTCTAGATTTTAACATCGATCGCACAGAGATACATTCTCCCCATTACATAGTGTAGTAGTGTAGTATTTTGAAAAGTTGACATTTACAGAAAAGCAAGATAATTATTAAAAAAATGTTGATAAATCTTTATAGTTTTACTAGAGTAACCCCCTTTATCATTTTAGAATGTAATCCACCTGTACAGTATTCGAAGTGTGGCCAAATGTTGTAGTTATAAATATGACGCCAACTTTTACAGTTTTACAGTACAATGTCTTCACCCTTTATAGTTGTAGTCGTGTGCAACACTTTGCAGAAGTAGATGCATTTAGTCATTTATTACGGTTGTAGGTTTACCACCTAATTTTCTAGATGTATAAGAACTGCCTGCCTTTGCAGTGGTTGGTATCGTTAAAATGTGCAGTTGTACATTGTTGTCATCCTTTGTAGTTGTAGCAGGGTAATAAAAACGTATCGCCCATCTTTACAATTTTAGAAATTTTGTCAAATCAATGTTTAAAATAGTAAAAATGTTGCCTGTATTAGAGTTGTACAAGTTTCGCCATCTTGTACTATCTTAATTCCACCTGTCAGTTGTAGAAATGTTTGCCAATTATTGAAGTTGTAGCTGTGTCACCAACCTTAAAGTGGGGAGCACTTACCCGATGCAACGCTATGCGACGCCACCCGATGCTACCCAACGCCTTGCCCCCTTTTTGGTGGGGTGTGCACATCTATCCGACGCAAGCACACGTCGCGTACAGTCACACAGCGTGTATCATAATAATCACTATCACAATCGCAAGGTTCTTTTGTCCTTAATGCTTTATTTTAAGCAAAACTATGTAATAAATTGTTAGTTAAATTTAATTGTTTTAAATAAAGTTATTCCGGTGTTTTGATAAATTTTCTGCCTAAACATCGTAATTAAATTTTTTTATAAAAACTGAATTTTTAATCCCGTTTAATTTGGTTTATGTTAAAATAAGAATGTTGTCATTAATATAACGACAAAATTACATATACATAGTTAGCAATAAACTACAAAAAAATATGAGTGTCCTCTTCTGACGCTACTCGACGAAAACAGTGTAATTGTATGAGCAAAACCATGAGATAAATTGTTAGTTAAATTCATTATATCAAAAAATGGTATTCCGGTGTTTTCATTAATTTTCTACCAAACCATTAAAAGTAATATTTGTCTTTTTTATCTCAACTAAAAACCTTAATTAATTGAAAGATATTAATTGGTCAAGCGGACCACGAAAACTAGTTAAATTAATATTTGTAAATAAAAACTAATGAATTTTTGATCTCGGTTAATTTGGTTTATATTAAGATAAATTTGTTGTAATTAATATAACGACAGAATGAATAAAATATCAGTGTCCGGTTCTTTTGTCTTCGACTGTACTGGAAGCTACCCGACGAAAATCTGGACAGTGGGGGTCGCATAGCACTGCATCGGGCATATGTGCACGGAGGTAATACAATCTTATGGAAAATTGGAATTTGGATTTGCGTCGGGGCATCGGGTAGCGTCGCATCGGGTAGCGTCGCATCGGGTAAATGTGTTCCCCGCTTTAAAAAGTATAAATGTTGACTGCAATATTGGTACTGTTAAAATATAACGCTTCATAACTGTTGTCAGTCTATTTTGTAAAAGGGCAAGAAATTGTAATGAGAGAAATTAGAGTTTTGTTTTCGATATCAACTGCATAAAATGTGTGTTGAAGAGGTGGAAGCTGAGGAAAATGCGTCCCCAACTAATGACAATAAACGTTTACAGTTGTAGAAGTGATGCTAAACTTAACATTGGCCGATGTTTACAATTGCTGAAATATTGTACGCGGAAAAAAAAATTGTAATCGGAGAAATAGGAGGTCTTTATTTTACTTTGCATTAGCAACGTCGAAAAGAATGGTGGAATCGGCCTGCATAAAAAATCCAATTCGAACAGGGCCAATCTTTAGATTTGTAGTCTCGAATTCAGGTTTAAAATTTTCAATATAAAAATTGAATGTAAATATGACAGAAATTCGACAATTGGTATTTCGTCCAAATAAATTATATTTACTAAGATCGTGAGATGCGGTCTGGTGTGCGTAGGTTCCAGAAAAACATTTTCTTTATCGTGCCAACGTTTCGATCTTTATTGAGATCATCTTCAGGGCTCAAAGTGTTTGTTTTCTGCGTAATTGTGCCATTCATGGATAATTATATACATAGAACAAAACAAACATAAACGTAACTTTTTAGAAATGGTTTACATCAACAGAGATAAACTCAGCATCAATTAAAGAACATACACACGTAAACTCAGTCGCAGCTACGCCAATATCATTAATCAAATTCAATATCGATAACATACATACATCATCGTCACATCATACAAAACATATAATATAACATATAAAACAATCATCACTTTTCAGACATCAAACATTTCTACATAGTATAATTCTTCAACAATTTGGCTTTCCTTTCCCTGATTATCCCCGTCTATATAATCCTGAAATGATGATCAGGCCGAACCATTACCCCCGTTTTTTCCCCTTCCTCAAAGAAGCCGACTCCTCATATAAAAAATGTCTTTCTATCCCGACTTCCTTCCCCACCACTTCAAAATCCAAAGTACATAAACATAAAACAGCAATATCTCACTAGCACTCTCAACACGGCATAAAAGACTGGCACAACTACGCAGAAAACAAACACGAGTAGAAATACTTTGATTGAATGTAAAAAATATTTTTTTTCATTGTATAAATTCTCTTTTTTCCACATTCTACATGTATTTGTTAAATTTAAACAAGTTTGTAAATCCCAGGCCCTGAAGATGATTTCAAGTAAGATCGAAACGTTGGCACGATAAAGAAAATGTTTTTCTAAACCTTACGTCACACCAGACCGCATCTGACGATCTACGAATAATTATATTTACTAAATTCACAAAAATATTTCGTTGGTGTATCTTTCCATTGTACTTAATGAAATATTTTTGTTTTTTGTTTCAGGGGCGATCAACGTTTCTAAATCAAAGAAAATCCTTGACAGCGATTCTAACAGTAAGTAGAAAATATCAAATCATTTATTTACTTTACTCTAGAAAGAAGAAATCATTCACCCCCCGCCCACCTAAAGACGATCGCGGGAGATAACGTCTCGCGGGGCGGACAATGCAGCGGGAAAATAGCCTGGAAACGTTGCTCGGGTCGAAATATTTATTTATGGCTAATGTTCGAAAGTCTATTCAGGGATGCGAGAGTGTGAGTGAGGCGGCGAAGACGGGAACGCCGCCTCCAGAGGGGTTGATACTGGAAGATCCTATCTCCTGCCCCTTCTTTTGTTCATCCCCACATATGTTTACTTGCCCGGTTTGATTTGTGTCCTCCTCTCCGCCTGCCAAGCCCGTTATTGCCTCCTTGACACACGGCTTTTATTTTAAAGGGCCATTAAGTTCAACGGACACCGACCTCCGTCCTGTTTCCATTATGAGAATCCTCGAGGTCCGCCTCTGCGAAGACGAATGCCTTTTAAGTCTCGTCCCTCGTCCTGTCTACAATCTTTATAAAATGTAAAATATAGTCCAACTATTCATATAATGTAAGTGTGATTAACGCCAAAGGAAGAAAATATCTATAAAATGGAATTTAATTTATTCAATGTTTTATGACTGTAAAAAAGTACAATTTCAGGAAAACACTTCTCCTTTCAGGGCCAGTATTTTTTCATTTCTGAAATCTAGAATATTTTTTTCAATTTAAGCCTTATATTAAATTATTCTTTTAAAGGGGTTCGTCGCCAGGTTTTTCTTAGAGACTATTTTCAGAAAAATATTATGTAAAGCGGAAAATTGGCATACTTTTCGTACTAATTTGTACAGAACCATTGACTAAATTATTTAATTGTGATTTAATACGTTTTGTATGAGTAGGTCTGTATAAATTTGGAAAATTCTCTTTTAATAAAGAGTTATATTAGATTAATCTGGCTAGGAGGATCCGCATTCTTATATAAAATTTATTTACTATCAACAGTTTTATATATGATGTCTTTTAGTTAAATTTGTGTCTCGGACATGGACTTTTTTTAAATTTCAGACTAACTGGCGTACATGGGCAGACCCAAAAATCGACAGAAATCTATACACAACTAGTTATGAATATATAGTTTACTTTTGCTTGACATTTTTACTTTAATTTTGGATAATTTTAATTAATAAAGTGGAGTTGGAAGATTATGCTTAGTACTTTTCATTCTATTTAAGATGCTTGAAACAAGTAAGACGCTTTTGATGAATACGAACGTCGTTGTTAAAAAGCGATCCCAGAAAGTCTTTTGCCGACAAATCGCCCTGTCGAAGCCTTGCAGACCCTTGAAATAAATTCAACTGGAGCACTACTCTTGCCGGCATATCAAATGGAGAAGGGTGAAGAGCCGGGGAAGAATAAGGTTTAGTAAAGTAGTCAGTTACCGGACCTGTTGTGTACAGAAATGGGTCGGCGCTTCGGGGAGAAGGGCCCTTCTTCTCTTTCGCCAAGTGTTTGTTTACCGTTGGATGAGAAAAGGGGGAAGGGTTGTAATCCTTTGGCCAGCGGCGGATAAATTGTTGTTCTCTAACAAGGAGGAGATGGAGAGCGGATCTCCTGGAAGGGCGAGCCTACACAAAAATCCTAAATACAAAAAACAACAATATCATACTGACGATGAGAAAAATACATCGGAAAAATCAGAAAAAATAAAGGACTGATATAAATAACACATTGGGGGAGTCCAGTGGCTGTTTAGAGTGTACTACTCCTATTTGCCAAGCTAGTGGTTCCGGGTTCGAATCCCGTCGTAGCCCATGGAATTTTAATTGATAATAAAAATGTCAATTGAAGTGTGCTGAAATAAGTAACCTACATAGCCCTTACGTAAAATATTCCCAGTGCACTCACCTTTAACTTGAAATCGAAGGTGCGAAAATGGTTACGCAAATAAAATGCATATTTAGCCCAAAAATATTACCATATTGATTTCACCTATAAATAAAAAAAAGTTTTAGTTGCATTTTATGCTAGTTTTTAATAACCCAAGCTAAACGAACCTAATCCGTCTCTAACCAACCTAATACGCTCGTCCCTAAACTTACCTAACCCTAACTCTGACTTAACCTAACCCAAATCCTACCTAACCCCAACATAAAATATTTCAAGTGCACTCTCCTTTAGCTTGAAATCGACGGTGCGAAAATGGTTACGCAAATAAAATGCATATTTAGCCCAAAAATATTACCATATTGATTTCACCTATAAAGAATAAAAACCCAAAGTTTTAGTTGTATTTTATGATAGTTTTTTGAGAATCTTTCTTTGTATCTTTTCATAAATTATACATCTTTTTCTAATGGTGTAAAATCCCGCGCAAATCACTAACACTACGGCCAGTACACCGGAGACACGTGTTGTGAAAAACCAATCAATGCTAGTACTCACTTTGTTATCGGGTGCAGGCTAGGAGGTTATTGTCGTATGAGGATTCTTAAGATGGGAAGTAGTGGAGAGGGCTTGAGCACTTATTGGGTTAGGATAGCTTGAAAGATTAGAGTGAAACATGAGTAACGAGAACAGATCAGTACTTTGAGAGAAGCAGAAAAAATAATTAATTCTGGGACAGGAGCGTTGCCTTAGAATAATACATAGGTTAAGTTAAAAGTACATTTTGACACAAAAATAAGTCGTGGTGATCAACGTAATAATAATGTACTTCTAAAAAACAAAACCCAAAGGGGTTGAAACTAACATGAGTTACCTGAAAATTAAGAGAAAATAATAATTACTGAGTAAATTTAAACTGTAGTTAAAGAGACTCTGTTTGGAGGGAGAGGATGTGCATGGATAGGAGATGTTTAAAAGATGTAGGGGAAACGACTTTGCGGGTAGTTAAAGGGAGGAGGGACTTTCAGAATTTCGGTGTTCGGAAAGACCGTTTAAAGGTGCATGCTCTATGCAGGGGGAAGGATTAGGTCATGAGGAGATTAGCCGATATTGCAGGATTAGAAAGAGGATTTGAATCGGATGGACTGGATAATGTAATGAGGACAAGGGATGTTAATAGCCGGGTAAAGGAAGGAAATGTAGACTTCGGAAGAGGATAGAGCCAGGATAGGTTCGAATACAGCCGGGATACCCTGGACCCTCGAGGGATACCGAATATAAACGTAAACAAACCTAACAACAGTTCGTCAGAATTTTGAGGTTTGAGGAGCAGCTTATTTTGCTCCCCCGAAAGCCCACAGCTGCAGTGCAACGGAGAGTCGGAAGGAAATGGGCTGGTTATTGATGGTCAGAGAGGGCATATAGGGGAGGGATTTGAGGAGATGACTGGATCCTATGATGCTGAGGATATTCAACTATGGACTTTGTAGGATTGAGGGATTTATCGGTCCAAGTTGTTGATGGAATTTAGGTCTTTCTGGATCTTATGGATGGCCATTGGTAGTTCAGAGGGATAGAAAGACACATTTGAGCATGAGCATAGAAGTGATAGTTGCAGTACTGGATGGAATCGGAGAGATCATTAATGTAGATGCTGAAAATAATGAGAGATGCTAGAGCTGTGGAGAACACCTGATCTTAATGGAAGGAAGTGTGGCTGTTAGTTATAACGACGGTTTGAAGTCGATTGGTAAAATAGGAGTTGAACAATCAGATGGTGCTGTTGGGAGTGAAACTGATTGTTAATGTCATTGTGGATAGTGATAGTGGTAAGGAGTTGGGACTATATTGTGAGGAATTTTAATGGAAAGCTTGGATTCGATGGATGGTAGATGGGTTGTTCGTACGTTAGAGTTCCTCTCCGCATGCCCAAATAGGTCGAATTAATGTTTTGTACAGAGTTAGTTTGTTTTTTACTGTCATGCTTGATTTCGGTTCTGGAAGTCTTCGTATTTTTCCAAATTGTCTGTTTGTTCTTGTCGCAAGAATCTTGTTAGCGGATTCCACGTTAGTCTACAGTTTAAGTGTTGCCAGTGTTTTACTTGGATAGATGTCGGCAGTTCTTTATTGTTACGTACAGACATATACTGTCTGTTTGTTTAGCGTGAACGTAGTTTGGTGCATTTGTCCTCGTTCTGCTTCATTTTCCACGTTTTACACCAATCTTCAATAAGCCAAAGTTGTTCCTGGATATCGGAGATAGCTTGAATATGATTGGACCTATAATGGTGTTGCGATGGATCGGCAGATCAACAGTATAAACTGTACATACGATGGGACCAAGAATGTTCCCTTGTGGGAAGCCGACCTGGATCGTTATGTTCGTTAGAAAAATGTAGTCTCCCGAATTGGAAAATTATGTGGACTGAAGACGATTATTAAAATTGCACAGGATGTTTGTAATTTTTAAAAATATACAAAACCCTAGATGTTAAAAAACAGAAAAATACCCCCTTTAGTCGATTGCCCAGCTCTTTCTTAAAAATATAAAAATATTCATCTAAAGAGATTGTTTTTTTATAACGGCTTATCTCACGTTTGTTTTAACAACCTATCTTTGTTGTTAAGTACAAAACACCTGCGCGACAAAGGTTGTCAACAGCAGAAAAGCTCAAGTTTAACCTGTATATTTTACCGAGAACAGAAAGTGTGCGGCCAAGAATGAAATTTGATACCTTTCCTTCATCTCACACATCAAAAATGCAGCAAAAATCGAATTCATCTCGGAATTACTGTTAGACTTTAGTATGACAACTATTGTATGGGATCTATTTTTATGAGACAGTTGTCTACTATTCTTTTAAACAAATTAAATATTCTTGAATTATAAATTCAAAGGTGTCTTTTTTTATTTTTACGGAAGGGCGTTCAAATATCGTTCGGGTATTTATTATCCAAAAGTTTAAACGCCAAGAGAATAATATTTTGCTAAAATCCACTGTGATAATGATGACTATTCAATTGTAAGTTTACTTTCAAATTTGACAAAGTGAGCAAATTGTTTATTCTATTTTAGTGTAATATAAATTACATTATGTTCGTCATAATTCATCATGTTGATTGCTTTTAATTCGATTTAGTCGACA